TGTTTTCGCTCGTTTTCCTTTTTTTTCGGTTTTTTCAAGAGTTTTCTAGGTTTTTGTCAATTTTTCTTCCAGATATATCGGAAATTTTGAAAAAACAGTGAAAACGAGCGAAAAAAATTGTAAAAGTTTGAATTCGCGCGCTTTTACTCACCGGGCGGCCTAGAAAAAAGCTCGTCCCTAAGGGCTTTCAGCGTATTTTTCGATGCGTTTTTCTCGCCGAAGGAATTTTTTTTGAATTTTTTCTTTATTTTTATGTCAATCTACATGCATTTCTGCACATTTTGATGCAATAAAAAATTTCACCGTACACCACCTTTAAGGTATCTCCCCGAGAAAAAAAACCCTATTACAGGGTTTATGGTATCTTCAAAAAAGATTCTCACCTGCATTTACATCTTAATCCATTTATTTCGAAACACAATCCAGATTTGAATTTGATATCAAAAAGTGTAGCCTCACTCAAACCTTCCACTAACCGGAACTCTTATTAGTATATCCAAATGTTCCAGGCTATTAACATAGTTCCACTTGATCACTCTCTTATCAGTCTCTCCATGATCCACTATCAATTCTAATCGTTTCTCATCCTCATCTTGATATGGTTCCATTTTGTATGAACGGGGACCATTCATATCACAAGCAATACAAAATCCTTCATCGAGTTCAAATCTAAACCGTTGTTTAATAGACTTCTGAACTCATTTCGAACAAAATGACAGTAGTAGAATTTCATTTAGTGCCATTTCTTTGAAAACCAAATCTCTTACAAGATACGGTAGTCTCAGAAACTTTATCATTTTTGAGAATTAAGTGGCGAATAGAAAAATAGGAATGTAATGAGGAAAAGGTATTCGGAAAGGTAGTCTATATTGATTCTCTATTGATTTTCCATTTGTCTGTTAGAATGGGGGACTGTCTCGGTAGAGTGCACTTGATACACTTACCGTAATTGATCATAAGAGATGTCTATCGATGTTTCTTCTGTGCAAATAATCGAAATAGTTCCTGTTCCTACTGTTGATTTGAAATTGGCATCATTTTTAATAATTAATTACTTTGCTTAGCATGAAAGTGGAGATTTAATTTAAATACAAAAAAAACATTGGTCCAAAGTAATCAGTTATCAATACTTATTGAATCCAACCTCTTGAAAATTCAAAAAAGAAGACAATTTTCAATGCGAACATGATAGAGTCAGAATCTTGGTTAACGTAACAATAACAATAAAAAAACCACAAACAAGAAAAAAGAGTTACAGAAAAAAACTAGATTATGAAAATGTAGAATGCCATACAAACATAAAGAAGATACCAGCTTGAACTTTCATAGAGCCAATCAATCCATCAGATTCTCTAACTATATCAAATGCATATGTACAGTCCAAATGATTAAACCAAAACGATAAATTTGAAAACCTGTCAGGCACTGCTATACGGTACTCCAAAACTCTTCCAAATCTGTAACTAACATCAGATGGCCTGCCCTTCTAATACAGGTTTTACAGTAGTTGAAATATTCAGCTTCTATGTTTCGAAACATTTTATGAGCTCCAAACCCAAAATTTAAAACATTTCAGAATCTTCTCAACTTTTCCTTTCGTTTTTTTATATCTTTTCCTAATTCTGAAATCTTGATTTCTGTCGCCTCTAACATTTCATTTTACGTGTTTTCCAACTCTTTCAAAACTCCCCAAAAAAGTACCGAAACCCGGGATCAGTCTTCCCATTGATTTCCTTCTTTGTCCACTTCCAATAATCCATTCCTCAATAAAAAAAAATGAAGAAATCGGGAAGCAAAGAATCCGGATCAAACTGTGAGAAGGCTCGATCAACAGAAGGTCAAGGGAGACGAAACGGGACCCAAAGACAGACGAAACAAACGAAAAGACAGCATCAGAAGACACCAGAAATGGAAAAAGAGCAGCTGAAAACAAAGACGAAAGGATCAGCAAGGAAACGGACTAAATCCACATCGACAACAGTTTCAACCGACACTAATAAGGTAAAAATTGTCTGAAAAGCTGGTTTTTCGAACTTTTTGAACAATTTTTCGAACTTTTTGAACAATTGTCATTGACAACTTTTTTGGCAGATTCTATTCTGTGGAGATATGCCGTATCTAACAAAAATGTGCCTGAAATGAGCATTGTGCCGATTTGAAACCGCTTCTCTCGCTTAGTTGGATTTGAACAGAAAAGTTGTCAACTACAAAAATGAAACTCGATCCCAGTTGAAAAAATCTGGACAACTTTTTTAGGACTTCAAACTGACTATTTTCACCTTGCCCCAGTTTTTTGCAAACCTACAGTAACCCTCTATACATTTCCAGAACAGTGACAACACCAGCAAAAGAAGTAGTCCAGATAAAGAAGACAAAGAAAAGTCGAGTGTTTCTCAAAATCGAAAACCTTCGGAACAAACGAAAGAAGACACGACGAATCTGACGACGTGCCAAGAGCTGAAACCCAAATCCAGGCCAAAATCGAGCAGAGTTCCAGTGGAAGAAAGTACAAAAAGAAAGGATGAAGGGAAGGAGAAGGAACAGCAAGTTTCTGAAAAAGGGGAAAAGAAGTTCAATATGCATTTGGCACAGCTCTTTTTCAAACGGATGATGGAGGCACAGAAAACGAAGAAGACTCCGAATAAGAATCAAGATGAGGTGGGCTTTTGGTTCAATTAACTCGGTTCCTATGAGACTTATCAAACATCAATAAATCAATAAAATATTTGGCTCTTTATGACAAGCGGGGGAAAAGGGGGGGGGGGGCCCAAGTGGAAAAATTATGCCTGAGTTGATATTTACCGATTTTTTCCAGTTTTGTGATCGTTTCCATTAAAATTTCGAACTTTGAACACTTTTCATAATTTTTTGAAAATATCAGTTTATGTCATTTTTTGCATATTTTTTGTCTATTTTTTTGTTACTAAGCCTGAAAAAATCTGAAACTAGCTGAATAACTTCAAATTACACAGCTGCAATGGAAAAATTCGTATTGTTCATGAAAAAAACCGGCCTAAACTGAAATTTTTTGAAGTGACAAATTTTTGTGGAAACAAGCGCAAAGTACGAAATTTTTATAGAAACATTTGAAAAACTTGAAAAAATTGGTAAATCTTAACTTAGTCCACATTTTTACCTATGCCCCCCCCCTTTTGATTTGGCCCCCCCCCCCTTTTCTCATGGGCCCCCTTGTCATAAAGAGCCAAATATTTGTCATAAAATCATCAACATTTTATCAGTTGACAGATTTTTGATATATCTTATAGGAAGCGGGATAATTTAATTGAGCTTAAAGTGTGCAAGTATAGTGGTGACGCAACCTGCCGACCGAGTTGTTGAGCTCAATTATCTCGTTTCCTGTGAGAGCTATCAAAATTTTGTCAAAATGATAAAATGTTGGTCATAACTTTTCCAACATTTCTATAGTTTACATATCTTTTATATCTCTCATAGGAACCGAGATAATTTAGCTCAAAGGAGAACGGTGTTTAGAGCATTTCTTGCGTTCTTACTATTAGAATTTCAAATTAGAATTAGTCAAATTGCAATTTTTTGTTTTTTTTTTGATACAAAAACACTTATAAATTACTAAAACATTAGCAAAACCCTCGAAATTTCAACGCAAATAGTGATTTCCAAAAATTGTCCCAAATGGCTCAGTGGGTTTTGGCACCACAATTTATGGCCCACAACACTAAAGTTCAAATTTTTCAGAGTTCAAAACTTTTTGTTTTTTTTTTGTGGTCCGCGAAAATGCCGTTTTTGGGGTAATTTGAGGTGAAAAAATTTTCGCTGCTGTATTTGAGGATATTTTGACACTTTGAGACATTTTGAGACTTTTAGCTCAATTATCTCGTTTTCTATAGAAGATATAAAAATCTTGCAAACATAAAAATGTTTTTGATAATATGACAAACATTTTATCAGTTAACGAACTTTTGATATCTCTTCTAGGAAACGAGATCATTGGGCTCAAAAAAAAACAGCTCGGTCGGCACCACTGGTTGCGTCACCATTTCACTTTAAACTCAATTATCGCGCTTTTCATGAGAGATATCAAAAATTTGTAAACTACAAAAATGTTTGTGATAATATGACAAGTATTTTATCAGTTGACATATTTTTGATATCTCTCACATAAATCGAGACAATTGAGCTCAAATAAAATGTTCCAGAATCTCGAAGTGATGCCTGATGTGAGTTTCATGGCGAATGTCTCCAAAAAAAACGTTAAAAAGTCCAAAAATCATCATCGAAAACCGTCCAAACCACTCGATTCGACAATTTTTCAAGCCAATGGTCAACCAGTTTGGATGGTACCGGATCGGAAGCACGAAGTACAAATGGATGATGGCGTCTGGACGAAAATTCCAGAATTGATGAAGGCGCTTGAAGAGGAAAATTTGAAAATGGACGATCCTAAACAGTGGCTTCGAATGGTTGAGAATTTTATTGCCGGAAAATTTGACGACGGAATTATTAAGGCGGATAGGTGAGACATCTGGATAAACAGACAGACAGATATAACGATAAAACCTGGTTTTCAGTTGATTTAAAGGTGGGGGGACAAGAGATTTTTCGTAGGATTTTTGTAGCTAGGGTATGCATTCTACCGTCACAGTGTACAACGCTTAATGTCACTCTGCGTACAGCGGTCGTCCTCACCTTTATAAATGCAGTCGGGCGCCGGCTGCCTCTTTGCCCGCGTGGCTCAGTCGGTAGCGGCGCCGCACCCTCAATCATCGCCCTCACAAGTTCAACTCCTCGAGGGGCATATTTAAACGGAATTTCGAGAACATTATTTTTTTTCATGTCCCCCCACCTTTAAAGCCATTTTCAGGGGACTGAGGCTCGGGCGTCAAGTTTCCAATCACTTTTAAAAGTTTGAAGGGTGTAAAACAGGTCTAGATTGAAAACTTAGTAATCACAGATTTGTTTTGAGAATTCCTAATTTTTCAGCTGTTTGATGATTTCTTAAATATACCCTTTTTTTCACATTTTCAGTAAAAAATGGAATTTTAAAAAAATTCTGCGAATACAAAGTTTTCGATCTAAATCTGTTTTACACTCTTCAAAATTTTCAAAGTGATCGAATAACTGACAGCCGAGCTCCAGACTCCTAAAAATGACTGAAAATTAACGGAAAACTTCGAATCAGCTCGATTTTGGAAATTTTTGGAAACTTCACAGAATTTTCCAAATGTCCGCAAACACTGCGAAAATGTCATTTTAAGCAGTTTTCAACGCCAAATTCGTTTTTCCCATAGTCAAATTGGTCGAAACTCGCGAGTTGAGCTCGAAATCTCAAATTTTTCAAGAATTCGGCGTTTGCGTACTCTCGAAGCTACAGCAATCCAAAATTGCTGAAAAATGCGAAAATGAAGCTAGAAATGTCTACTTTTCAGTTCTAGACCCAAATTTTGCGAGGAACGCAACTTTAATAACGAACATTTTCAGCGACATCAAAGTGGATCCATTTGGCAGTTTCAAAGAGTTGGATGAGAGATCAGATGTGTTTTTTCGATACGATTCAACGGTTTACTATACTTTATCGAATATGCTCACTTTGAGTAAAGGTTTGATGATTCAGAATCTGGAAAGTTAAACAGATTTTTGGGAATTTTCAGAATCCGTCGATCGTTTCTTCAATCAAGAGAAGGGTTTAATTGAGCAGCCACGACGGGTAGATGCTCAATCTTTATTCCTGAAACCGTCGAAAGAAGAAGATGAGGAGAAGGAGAAGACGTGTCTCGTGACGTCGATTGCCTTCAATATGGATAGTACTTTTATTATTAGTTATGATGTAAGAAATTCAGAAATTCAGAAATTCAGAAATTCAGAAATTCAAAAATTCAGAAATTCAGAAATTCAGAAATTCAGAAATTCAGAAATTCAGAATATCAGAAATTCAGAAATTCAGAAATTCAGAAATTCAGAATATCAGAAATTCAGAAATTCAGAATAACAGAAATTTAGAAATTCAGAAATTCAGAAATTCAGAAATTCAGAAATTCAGAATATCAGAAATTCAGAAATTCAGAAATTCAAAAATTCAGAAATTCAAAAATTCAGAAATTCAGAAATTCAGAAATTCAAAAATTCAAAAATTCAGAAATTCAGAAGTTCAGAAATTCAGAAATTCAGAAATTCAGAATATCAGAAATTCAGAAATTCAGAAATTCAAAAATTCAGAAATTCAAAAATTCAGAAATTCAGAAATTCAGAAATTCAAAAATTCAAAAATTCAGAAATTCAGAATATCAGAAATTCAGAAGTTCAGAAATTCAGAAATTCAGAAATTCAGAAATTCAGAAATTCAGAAATTCAGAAATTCAGAAATTCAGAAATTCAAAAATTCAAAAATTCAAAAATTCAAAAATTCAGAAATTCAGAATATCAGAAATTCAGAATATCAGAAATTCAGAAATTCAGAAATTCAGAAATTCAAAAATTCAGAAATTCAGAAATTCAAAAATTCAGAAATTCAGAATATCAGAAATTCAGAATATCAGAAATTCAGAAATTCAAAAATTCAAAAGTTTAATTTGAATTTTTTTCAGAGACGCAAACCAATCATATCGATTAAAAAGTTCCGTAAAAAATACCAAGATCGTCTCCGGATCTCAATGGAACAGGAGAAGAAGGGTTCTCGTGAAACGTCCAGTAAGGCGATTTCAAAAAAAGGCAAAACGAAAGAAGGGGGAAAAAAATCGAGAGAAAGTTCTTGAAGATTCTTCCAGAAGAATCCCTTATGATTAACAAGTTTTCTCAATGTTCATGTCATTTTGAACACCGAAATGCACTCTTGATTCTATAAATACATGCAACACAACCACAATGAATATCATCTTACTCGTCATTTTTGAGAAAAATAAATATTATTTCATTTTTTATTTTTAAATTTCCAGAATCTTAGAATATGAGAACATCATAATCTGAAAATCCAAACTTTTAAAATTTTGAAAATCTGAGAACCTGAAATAATATCAGAATCTCAGAAATTCAAATTTTCGGAATTGCCTATGTTCAAAATTTCGAAATATGAGAATCTTCTCAAAGTCTGAAAATCGGAAAATCTCAGAATTTCAGAATCTAAAAATCCAAATTTTAAAGAATCTGAATTCAAATTCAAATTTTTTTTGAGATTCAAATTTTCGGTAATTTCAAAATTCAGAATCTTTGAATTTAGGAATCTGAGAATTTCCGAAATTCAAATTTTCCGTGTTTCGGCTTTTAGGAAGTTCAAGAATCTGAAAATCTGATCAAATCCCGAATTATCTAAAATTCTAGGATTCGTTTCTGGAAGTCTCGTAGAATCCCCAAGGGTTCTCAACGGAAAAGTGATTGGCTTCGACGCCGAATGGAACCCAAATCGATATTTCGCAATTAATATGGCTGGATTCGCCCTTGGAATCCAATTAATTCTGAATTCCAACGTCGAATTCAGAAGTTTCTGCCCCTGGGGATCCGGAAAATCGGAGTCCTGTTTATTAGAAGATTTGAGGCTGAAAAGGGAGGATATTGAACCATTTGCATTTGAAAATGAGGTAAAATGTTTTATTTTTAGATTTTTTTGATTTTCCAAAAATTAAAAAATTCCAGACGAATCGAGAAGTTCGGGTTTGGCACACCAAAACCTCTGTACCTTTCATATGGGATTTACACCAAAATCCGTTGAATTGGCTATTTTCGCAACCACCCAAAACCAATGGCTACTCTGTAGAATATTGATATTGTTTTAATTTTTCCTTTAATAAATAAAAAAAATCGATTTTTGCGTACTTTTGTCATTCTATAGTAATCCACTAATCCCTTGCTTCAAACTTTATCTCTGAAATCGCACGTCTTCTTGCAAATCTGCAAAATGACGTTTTTCCAAGATTATCTGAACCTTATAAAAAAGAGCAAAAAGGGTTTTGCTCTGGCTGGGGTTCGAACCCGTGACTACTGGCGTGATGTGCAAAAGCGTTACCACTGCGCCACGGACACATTTAAAATTGGAGAGTGCAAGCAGTATAAGAATGTTGCGTAACGTGGTGGCGGCTGCCGCCGCCAGGCAGCCTGAAAGCATCCGGAGAGATTTTTTTCCGGGTCAGGTGCAAAATTTCATGTCATTCCTAATCCTATAATGTAATAAAAACCCATTTGCCACCACCGTCTTCTCGTGTCTTTCTTTTTTGAAGGACATCTGACCATCTGCCACACTTGGTTCTTCCTTTGAAATTCTTTATTTTTTCGGTTTTTGGGCCTAAAACCGCCATGTTTTTCTTTTTTATTCTTCTTCTATTTTTATTTCTTCAACTCTTTCTGCTCATTGAGCCCTTCGTAGTCGACCATCATAGTCGGCCAAAACAAACATAACCGCGCCAAAAAATCAATTTTATGAGATTTCCTCCAGTTATTGCTTTATTTGTGTTACTTTTGATTTATTGTTCATTTTGTTTATGTTTTCCGTTTTGACAATAATTTGATAAGAATCTTGTTTATTTGTCCCTCTTATCGCCTCCTCAAACCGATTTTCCTCCAAGTGCACCAAGTGCGCTCCACCGGACACCTCACAATTTTTTTCTCAATTCCCATTTCTTTCGTTTTCTGCTCATTTTCAACGGATTTTTTTGCCCTTTTCGCTGAAATAATTCATTTTTCCCATCTCCTGAGGTCCTGAGCTTCAAAATGAGCCCAAAAACTCCAGAAATGTCGGCGGAATGTTCTAGAAAATCCGGATTTCGCAATACTTGTTTTGTCATGTGAGAGGGCTGGACGCATGTGATTGATGATGCCGTAGTTTTGCCAGAGTGCCGGAAAAAGTTGAAGAGTTCAAAAATTGGGATTTTGCAAGAATTATGTGCTCTGGGTACATAATGTGCCGTACATTTGGGTACTTTAAAACAGGGATTTTTTGAAAATTCTTTAAAAAATGTTTTCGTGTTCAAAAAATGACGAATTCCTAATCTTTGGAGTGTTATAATACTTTGGGAAAAGGTGTTTTTGGAGATCGTAATCTAAAGAAGTTCTGAAAATTTGTTTTAGAGAATATTTTTGATTTTTCACACATTTTAGGTTTTCTGAGAAATTTTTGATTAAAAATTGAAAAGTTCCATAAAAATCCAAATTTATATTTTTTCAAACTTCTTGGAAAACGGAAAAAAAAGTTCCAAAAATTCTCGCGTTTCGAATTTTTTGAATTTTAGATATTTTTTTTGAAATTTAAAGATGGTGTGAAATATTTATTGCTTCATTTAAAAAAAAAATAAATATTTAAAAGAGTCAAAAATTAAAAAAATTTGAAAATGTTTTTTTTTTCGATTTTCAGACAATTTGAAAAAAAATTAAAATTGGAATTTCATGGAATTTTTCAATTTTTTTAAATTTTGAGTCAAAAAAATTTATCACAAAACTTGGAAAGTGTAAAAAATCGAGAATATTCCCAAAAAAAAAATTTCAGGACTTTTAAAAAATTAAACCTCCAGAAACGTCTTTCCCAAAATATGATAACACTTCAAAGATTAGATATTCGTCCGAAAATCTGAAATTCAAAAATGATTGTCAGAACTTTTTTGAAATTTCAGTAAAACTGCAATTTTGGAACTTTTGAATTCAAAACTCTGCAATTTTGGAATTTTTGAAATTGCAGACTCCTAGAATTCTAGACATTGCTCATATTCTAAGATCCAGTTTCTATTCAAAAATTCATCGTTTTCATCCCGAGCCCATCCCATCTAGCTCCTCCGAATTAATAATCAATGATCATTCTCCTCAAAAGTGTAACATCTGTCCACATACACATTGTTCCTCCTCCAATAGGTTCCGAATTATTCAAAAGATATGCTATCTTATGCATTGCTCATCCCATCTTCGCGTACTCTCCGGTCGCGACCGATAGCTCAAGAGACAATTTCTTCGAATTTCTTCGGGAGAAATAGTATGGGAATCGGAGAGGGTGTCTGGGGAGCCACCAGTTGCACTCGCCCCACCTACACAAATACTCTCCGGAGAGATTGGGAGAGAAAGGGTTCCCAATTATCCCCGACCCATTTCACACATTTTGTGGAAACATTCCTAGAAACATTCCAAATAGCTACTTTATTCCCTATGGATTCGAGGATGTATCCTACAAACTACAATCGGAGTAATCCTATTAATAACAATAATAATAAACCGAGGTATAGGCTTTTTTTAAAATTTGCAGTTCTGCAAAATACACTTGAGACCAAAATTTTGGATTTTTGGTGCTCCATTGATAGGGCAAAGAAATCGCTTAGAAGCCGTCAAAATCGGTCCTGTGGAAGTGAAAAGCCGGTGGCCGTGGCCGAAGGTCCCACAGCGACAACTACAGTCACCGAAAATTGTTTTTATTTTCCAGATTTATTTTCTCCTTTTTTCACTGCAACTTCAGTCAACGAAAAGCAGTGAAATATCGAAAAAATAAATGAGGAAAATGATAATAATTTTAGGTTACTGTAGTTTTCGATTTGGAACTTTCGGCCACGGCCACTGACGTTTCTCTCCCAGAGCTCCTATTTTTTGTTGCAAAATAATTTTTCTGAAGCGCCCAAGGCGCTCCAGTTGGACTCTTACTGCTATTCTGTTTTCGTCATCTAAAGGGAATCTATAGTCATTTTTCATGTATTCTGAAGCGCCGAAGGCGTGCCAGATAGAAACCACGAGTGCTATTTTCATCGTCGTCGTTTTCGTCACAGCTACACAGCTAATCTGATAAAATTAGATCAAAATCTCTCTTCTACGTTTCTAATGTGTGGTTTAGCAAGTCCTTGGTGTGTGATAACTTTATCACTGATAAATTTAGCTCCTCTAAATTGATGGATTGGCTCTGCGGCAACGAAAACGAACAACTGTTTTGGTTTTTTTAAAAACTTTTCTGCTGTCTCTGATCAGCACGACATCGTGCTCCTTATCGAACTCAAAATTTGGCCGCGTGCCAATTTTAAGGGCATCAAAATTAGAGGAACATACAGTACCGGTTAGAAGATTTCCGGCCATTTTCAAGAGTTTGAAGCTCATCAGCTAAATTTTGGAACTTTTTCAAATTTTCCGGATTACTGTAGTTCCAGAAGTACGCAAACACTGCGAAAACGCCTTTCTGGACAGTTTTCAACGCCAAACTCGTTTTTCCCATAGTCAAATTGATCTAAACTCGCAAATTGAGCTCGAAAAGCTCGAAATCTCAAATTTTCAAAAATTTGGTTTTTGCGTACTTTCGAAGATACGCGAAAAAAAGCAAAAAAATTGGGTCAAAATACTCTGTCTTCTTATCGCTAAAATTGATGGAGGAATTTTCCGAAAAAAACGCAGTTTTATCAGTAAAAATCACCTTATTTCGGCTAAAACATGCCAAGAATGGTCGCTTTTTGCCAAAAAAAATATATCAAAAATAGATTTTAAAGGTGGTGTGCGGTGAAAATTTTTATTGCATCAAAATGTGCTGAAAAGCATGTAGATTGGCATAAAAATAAACAAAAAATTCAAAAAAAAATTCCTTCATCGAGAAAAACGCTCTTCAAAACATACGCTGAAAGCCCTTAGGGACGAGCTTTTTCATTTGTTTTTCTAGGCCGCCCGGTGAGTAAAAGCGCGCGAATTCAAACTTTCAAAATGTTTTCTTCCGTTTCACTGTTTTTTTCAGGTTTTTCGATGTAACTGGTAGAAAAATCAACAAAAACCTTGAAAAATGAAAACGGAAGAAACATTTTTTAAAGTTTGAATTCGCGCGCTCTTACTCACCGGGCGGCCTAGAAAAACAAATGAAAAAGCTCGTCCCTAAGGGCTTTCAGCGTATGTTTTGAAGAGCGTTTTTCTCGATGAAGGAATTTTTTTTTGAATTTTTTGTTTATTTTTATGTCAATCTACATGCTTTTCTGCGCATTTTGATGCAATAAAAATTTTCACCGTACACCACTTTTAAAAGCTGAATTTTCTCAAAAGAGAATTTTTTGAAATTTGTCTTGTAGAGCGCGCTTGCATAGTCTCGTCACTAGAATTTTTAGTAATCGAATTTTGTGGCACTTTTACCTGAATCTGGGTCATTTTTTGAGCTTCTTTTATGTATTTTTTTCGATATTTTATCAAAATTTCAAAAATTCCAATTTTCCAGATATCGCATCTATTCAGTAATTCGTAAAATGAATCCAAATCAGCAGTTGGTCCATCAACACCAACAACAAATGGCAGCTCAACAGCGTTCTGTTGCATCGAAGAACAACGAAATTCGTCGTTATGTTCAACAGCCGGTGCCGAATCGACCGCCCGGCCAGAATTCAAATCGGAATGGAATGGGAGCTAAGAATGGGAAATCAATGACATCGGTTACCATAGAGGAAGTCCCAAATCATGCGTATTTGGAGAGTTTGGTAAGGGAGATATGGAAAAAAAATTGACTGAAAATCGTCAAAAACTGAAATTTCGAGGTGTAAAAATCGCTAACAGTTGCTTGAAAAGTCTCTAAAAAACGCTGAAAATTTAGCTGATTTTTAGGGATTTTCCCTAAAAATTTTTTTAAAAATTCATTAAAAACCACTAGAACATCACTAAAAATCATAAAAAATCGCTCAAAGTTTTAGCGGTTTTAAATGATTTTTTAGCGAGTTAAAACGATTTTTTCGCAAAAGTTTTACAGTGATTTTTAGTAATTATAGCGATTTTTCAGTTAATTTTTAGTCAATTTGCACTGAAATTCTCAAAAAACGCTTCCAAGTATTTCGATGTTCACTGAAATTTTGAAAAGAAAATCGCCGAAAATTTTAAGCGATTTTTAGCTATTTTAACTCTTCGAAAACTGAAATTTCGAGAGCTAAAACGCCGAAATTCACTAGAAAATTCACTAAAAATCGTCAAAATTTTGGGGATTTTTCGTGATTTCAGTGCGATTTTTAGTATAAAAATACGCAATTTTCACTGAAATCGAATCGAAAATTCATTGAAAATCGCCAAAAATTTAGGTGATTTTTCAGCGATTTTCCAGTGATATCGATTATTTTTGAAAACTGGTTTTTAGTGAATTTTTAGAAATTTTTAGCAAAGTCCTAGGCCAAATTTGAATGGTGACCTAGAATCCCAAAATTTGTTTTTCTACGCCACATAATAAAAACTTGTTTCTGGTAGCTAAAAGCATGGTTGCAAGCGGGCCGGCTGATAACTTGTCCCTAGAACGAGATATTCAGACGGTTTTGGTACCGAATGATAGATCTCGACAGGGCCCATCACGCCTGTATCAATCGAGCGGGATCCCGGTCCGATAACAAGTCGAAAAATGTGTTTCAATGACAATTTTGGACCAATTTGACAAAAAACACATTTTCGACATGTGAATTCCACCACA